TTTGAATCGCCTCAATCGGATATCGGAATACAAAGTTATGATAAAAACACTGAAAGAAGGTGTAGCTGCCTGTTTAAAACAAGAAATTCCGTTACATAGTCCGTTAAAACAACAAATTCCGTTAGTTTTTCCGTTAAAAACAAGAAATTCCGTTACATAGCCACTTTTAATATATAGAAAGAAGAGATATAATTTTAGCTATTCATTTCTTTGTATTAATGAGGATATAATAAATTATGGGTTGTATTCCATGTATGGATGTGTTTGAATTTTCATACGAGTGTACATATATTTCTTGATTTGACTTATAATTCAGATTCACATATAAATTCTCATACGAGCTTCTTGTAATTTTCAATATTGCTGTAACGATTAACAATTCGTGGGTTTGACAATTTTCGTTCAATTAGCACTTTGGAAACACAGAAAATGGTTATTAGCTCCTTAAACTTTTGTTGTAAAAAGTGATTGGCATTTTAACTGATTAGTTCGTATAGTTAGCGTAAGAATAAAAACTTTAGCATGCAAACTGATGCTCACTTTAGCAAATAAGTTCCTATTAATGATGGCTCATTTTCCATTTCCTGGTTCTGTACTAGATTTATTACTTAGTTTTCAAACATGCAGACCAATTTTCTTCGATCCACAACTTATGTTTCTTATGTTATTGCGTGATGATGTCATCATGTTAAAACTTAGAACTTTTTTTATTTACGGAATGAAATTGTGTTAAGCTTAGTGAATGCTCAGCATCCGTTCCATTGGGTTGTGTCAGACTATCCTAGAGAATGTGATACTGTGGGGTTTGGCATATCTTCTTTTGATCTTTCATGTTTTGTAAGGACTGATGAAAACACAAGTTGCAATTAGTGAAGGAGGTTTTGAACTTGTTTACGCAATTGATGTTGTCGAAAATTCGACTATTGCAATAAAAAGAACAAAGAAAAACAATAGAAAATAAAAGTAGAAGATGAAGTGAGGTATGTTAAGGCAAATCTTCTTAAAACAGATTTCGCCCCCCAACAACGTGCAAACGGGATTATGGACGTCTGTCTCCCAAAATACAAAGTTTCTTCCAAAGTCGATATTGCACAAAATCAACCTAGACGGTCGAACCAAAGAATGAACGTACTCTAACGGAATAACAACGAAAATATCTTAGAAATTTATACAGAATATGGAGAGAGAACGAATTTAAAAATCATGAATATATTAATTGATTTGGTGTACAAAAAACGAATCTGAAGGTCTCTATTTATAGAGATTGAAGTGTCTCATTGAATGAGTGTGTAACATTTCACGAACTAGTGCACCACTTGGTCTGATACGTTTTAGCCATCGGATCGCACTGTTTCATGATCTGACGGTCCAGATTAAACCATGAAGAGTAGTGTCCATTCATCATGCCTATTCACCAATTTCTGAACAGTCACCAGCCATGCAGATGCCACGCGTACGTCCAACTGAACCAACTGCCACGCAGGACTAAGTGACGCAACATATTACGTGTGTGCCACCTAGGATGCCAACTCATCTAGCCTACCGCTATCATGTCATCGAACCATAAGTCCATTTCTGAAAACTTTAAGGTTCCACAGCTCCTCGTGACGATGCGTACGTGCGAAGTGCGCCTCTAAAGCACCCAATGCGAACTTTGCGACGTGCGCGAGCCGAGGCTGGAGACGCACCACTCTAGTGGTGGCTAGTTTGCTAGCCTTTGGCTAGTCAAAGTTAGCTAAGTTGTAAATCACTTATTAAATTATAACTTGTACACACATCCTACTATATAAACAAGTCTTTTTTCTTGTAAACTTTCGATGTGAGATTACTTACCATATATAAGAGAATTAAAATTGGGTTTATCAACTTATGGACCTATATTGGAGACTTTTCCAATTCACCCAAATTAATTACAATGGCTCACATAATTAAATATCACATTTAATTATTTAACACTTTATCAATTAATTCCAACAATTGAAGGATTCATATCTGGTGACGTTTGTACATTTACTCATCCTTGTTTGCTTTTGAATTATTCTTTCAGTATTTCTTATGTAACCACAAAATTGCTTATGGATGGATCATGGATTAACCATTTATTAATAGCTTTGCTTGGGATGAGATCTGATCTTGTTCAGTTAAGTTGATAGTTTTTTTTTTTTTTGCTTTTAACTGTGTCTCTACAACTTGCCATGTTATCCAAATTTGATAAATATATTAAAGAGGACATTAAGGGGGCGTGGTTTGGTGTTTTTAGTTTTTAATTTTGTAAAACACTCACAAAATGCGGCATAACTTAATTGCATATTTGCATGTGGACAACTTGCTGGAAATTTTGTGAAATTTTGCTAGGAATTGTAAAAACTCAACTGAAAGGGGAATGTCCTAACATTTAGATGAAAGAGTAGATGATGCTATATTTTCTGAAGAATTTTTTTGATGTATTAAAATAGTGCTGTGGCTCATTAGCAAAACTGAATTTTGTTTGTAAGGATAAAGTTCCTTGAGATGTATTGTGCTTATAAGATGAAGTTCTAGAAATAGAAAAGAAGTTACACATTTATTTTATTTATTTTGGAACTATGAAATATGAAGATTTCTATTCAGCTTATCTTATGTTTTGACGACTATAACTTATATAAGGGCAAGTAAACCTTTTAACCTAATGTTGAATTGGATTTGATTGGTGAAGTTGGATTTTTTTGGGGCTTGAGTACACAGTTAACATCATAAGCTCACCTGAAATTATGTTGGAAGCCCATTTTAGGTGCCAATGCACTATCTCACTTTGTAAGCATATCCCTGACTATAAGGATTTCTTACTTAATTGCATTATTATGCCAGGGTTTATGACCATCCATGTCAAAGAAGAATTTGGATTTCTTGTCAAATCTGGAACCTCTCGAAGAGGTCTATTCTAAGATCCGAAGTATGATTTATCAGATTTATTTTCTTTGATATTATAAATTATAAAATGTACATTTTCATTTGTTTTAATTGGTTTAGGAGTTAAAAAATTATATGATGAGAATTAGTCCATAATCTTAAGTTGTCGGTTTTATGGGTAAGTTT